ATAGAAAAAATTAGCTGGGCATGGTGGCGCATGCCTATAGTCCCAGCTACTTGGGAGGCTGAGGCAGCAGGATTGCTTGAGCCCAGGAGTTTGAGGTTGCTGTGAGCTAGGCTGCCGCCATGGCACTCACTCCAGCCTGGGCAACAAAGCAAGACTCTGTCTCAAAAAAAAAAAAAACAATTCTATTTATAAAAGCATCAAAAAGTTTAAAACACCTAGGAATTAACCTAAGCAGTCAAAGTCCAATACAAGGAAAACTACAAAACATTGCTGAAGGAAATTTTAGAAGACGTAAATAAATGGAAATACATCCCATATTCATGAATTGGAAGACACTGTTAAAATATTAATAGTACCCAAAGCAACGTACAGGTTCAATATAATCCCTATTAAAATCCAAATGACTTTTGTTTTTACAAAAATAGAAACACTCATCCTAAAATTCATACAAAATCTCAAGGGAGCCCAAATAGCTGAAACAATATTAAAAAAAAAGAGCAAAGCTGGAGGATTCATATTTCCTAATTTCAAAACTTTGAAAACTATAGTAAATCAAAACACTGTGGTACTGGGAGAAAGACAGATATATAAACCAAGGGAACAGAACAGAGAGCCCAAAAATAAACTCTCACATATTTTTTCAAATGATTTTCAACAAGAATGCCAAGGCTGGGCACAGTGGCTGATGCCTGTAATCCTAGCACGCTGAGAGGCCGAGGCAGGCAGATCGCTCAAGATCAGGAGTTCGAAACCAGCCTGAGCAAGCTCCTTACTGAAAATGAGAAAGAATAGTGGCCGACTTAAAATATATAGAAAAAGAAATTAGCCAAGCATGGTGGCATATGCCTGTAATCCCAGCTACTCAGGAGGATGAGGCAGAAGGATTGCTTGAGCCCAGGAGTTTAAGATTGCTGTGAGCTAGGCTGATGCCACAGCCTGGGCAACAGAGTGGAGACTCTGTCTCAAAAAAAAAAAAAAAAAAAAAAAATGCCAAGAACCATTCAATGGAGAAGAATAGTCTTATCAACAAATGGTGCTTGGTAAAACTGACTAGCCACATACAAAAGAATGACAATGAACCCTTCCTAAAACCATACACAAAAACTAACTCAAATGAATCAAGAACTAAACGTAAACCTCAAACTACAAAACTCTGAGAAGAAAATATAAGGCAAAGTTTTTATAACATTGGATTTGACAAAGATTTCTTGATATGACAACAAAGGCACAGACAACAACAAAATAGACAAACTGGATCTCTCAAAAATTTTTAAATCTTGTGCATCAAAAGACAATATCAACAGAGTAACAAAGGAACTCACAGAAGAAAATATTCCCAAATCACATTATTATCTGATAAAGTATTAATATCCAGTATACAGAGAGACCTCCTAAAATTCAACAACAAAAAAACAATCCAATTCAGAAGTGGGAAAAAGACTTGAATAAATTTCTCCAAATATGATACACAAATGGCTAACAAGCACATGAAAAGATGCTCAACATCACTATCAATGGGGAAACAAATTAAAACTACAATTAGATATCCCCTCACCCTCATTAGCATGGCTAATATCAAAAAGACAAAAAATAACAAGTATGGCAAGGATGTGGAGAAATTGGAACCCTTATGCCCTGTTGGTGGAATATAAATGGTACAGCCACTATGGGAAAACAATACAGCAGTTCCTCAAAAAATTAAACACAATATTATCATATGACCCAGTAATTCCAGCTCTGGCATATACCCAAATAATTTAAAACAGGGTCTCAAAGAGATATTAATATCTGTATACTCATATTCATAGTAGCATTATTCACAAGAGCCACAATGTGGAGCAACCCAAGTGTTCATGGATGGATGAATGGATAAGCAAATTTGGTATACACATAACAATGGAATATTACTCTGCATTAAAAAGGAAGGAAATGCTGACATATGTACCACCTGGATGAACCTTGAGGACATTATGCTAAGTGAAATAAGTCAGTCACAATAAGACAAACACTGTATGATTTCACTTATGTAAGGTACTTGAAGTAGTCAAAATCAGAGACAGATGGCAGAATGGTGATTGTCAGGATGGGGAGTTATACCATTATTGTTTAACGGTAGAGAGTTTCAGTTTATAAGATAAAAAGAGTTCTGGAGATGCTGATGATGGTTGCACATCATAAACATATTAAATACCACTAAATATACCCTTAAAAATATTAAGAATAAGTTTTATATTATGTGTATTTCAAAAAATTTTATAAATGAAGGAAAAATTATTCTTTTAACTAACAACTTACACAATAGGTTGTGCTGGTTGATGGATGACGGAGCACTAACATAAGCTGTAGGCTGTACTCCCATCATTCCTGAACCATCTAAAAGGAAAAAAAACAAAAAAAACACACTTTATTTCAGGTACCCATTTAATAACATTTATCCCTAAAGAAAAAGATACATAATGAAAATGTTACACTAAGGAAAAGCATCAGTATTTCCTTCCTGGGTAACGAGTTACCAAAGAACCAAAAACAGAAACAGTCATTTCTTAAATCTAGATGAAAAGGAAATAACTGTGAAATATAGCTGGGTTTTAAAACAGGATATCTTAAGGCAATAAAGATGTATAATATTTGAATTAAGCAAAGTTGTACTTTCTCATTTAGAGATTTTTGGCTTGCACAAAAATCAGTTTTCCTTATGAACCACTGAGGAAAAAATGCTTACACTATAGATAACTTACAATAACTAAGACTGGGATCCAAGTATTTCTGGCCCCATAAAAATGCTATGCATCATCATAGGAGTTCGAAAGTTAGTCACCAAAGGTGGTAGTAGGTGAGGTGGAGGCAAAGGTCCAATCCTGTATCAATAGAAAATGAAAAGTTCTCAATATTTCATTGCAAATTTTTTAAAAAATCAAGATATTATTCTTTTGCAAAATATTATACTGAAATCCAATCACTAGAAAAGCCATCACTTGTTCTAATCATTCGTCAAAATTATCATTCAAAAACAAATAATATAGCATAGAATTTCACAATTCTCCAGTACATTTATGTAGTGACAAAAACTTAGGTTAATATCCAAATCAGTTAATATCCTATAGTCACTATGTGCCAGTATCAAACAAAGACAGACATGGTCCCTGTCCTTGGAATAACACAGAAACAAATAGCTGCAGCCAAGTATAGTAAATAAAATAATAGAAGTAGATACAGAGTGCTATGGAACACAGAGAGGGACATCTAAATCACATAAGGGACAGGAAGAAACCACAAGCATGGCTTTTCAGAAGAGCAATGCTCGGAGCCATCTTACTAGAGTGAGTTACTCAGAGAGAGAGGAAGGACCGTCCAAGAAGAAAAGGCAAAGAGTACAAAACAGTATGATTATAACATAATGGTTTGAAAGGTTGTGCTTTTAACTGTAAATATGTATTATTCTTCTCAAAGGAAGTCAACCGTATATGAAATATAAAACCACTAAAATATCAAAGTAAAGTCTTGACATAATCTTAGTATTTCATAAATTTAATAAACTTCTGAAAACCCTACTTCAGCACTTCATTAGAGTTGGAAATATCTCTGTATTTCCACCAATGCAATATTTTCCAACAATAAAAACAAAGAAAGGGAAATTCCTTTAAATGAACAATATTCTCACTTTTGAGTGTATCTTAACAGATTCTCCCTTGTCATACACTTCAAAATAATTCTGAAGAACTAAGAAGGCAATGAAGTTCTCTTAAGTAGTGAATATTTTCATATTTACTGCACTCAGTGTATCTATCCTCACTCCAAAGATACATCAACAAAAACTTGAATAATTTATGAAAAGGTATTGCACTCATCAAGTCTAATTTATATAATATTATATAATATTAAATCCTCACAACAATGCTGTAATTGTAGATAAGAAAAAAATTACTTTTCCACTTTTACAAATAAGAAAATTAGCTCAACAAAGGTGTGGTTTGCCCAAAATCCAGGTAGAGAAGCCAACCATTTCCATCCTTGATCCAAAGAAGAGACACCATATAATGCTCTGTAATTCCAATCTCTTCCAGTCTATTGAGTGGAGAAGCCATCAGATGAAAAAAACAAAACACCTGATAAATACACTAAACACAGTCCTATAGTTTGTTAGTAGTAAATAAAAGACAAGTCCTATGAAAAAGCAAGTATAGGTCAGAAAATATCAATGTCAAAAAGAGTTGAGAAGACATCTATAAATGTGAAATATTAATACATATTTATAATTAAAAAATTAATATTGAGTGAAACTAACTCAAAGTCTTACAAAGAGAAGAAAAGTATAGCTGAGAAAATATATCAGTGTTAACAACATGATTTTCTTTATATGCAGTCTAGTATAGCATGATGCCTTTTTATCTATAGAAATCAAATCTTTACCCAATACCCAAGTTATAGGTTTTATAATCTCAACACTTTTTATTTAAGTTGCATGGCCCCTAAGTAATCACAGAGAATGAGCTTAAGAAAACAGAAGCTAAAATAAAATCATATATATAAAAGAATCATATTAGAAATGTTTTCCACATGAATTGAAGCATTCAATGTTGCCAAGTGGAAATAACAGAATTAAGGAAAATGTATAGCTTTTATATGTTAAAAAGATATTAAAAAGAGATATCCCAAAATATAACCTAAAATTAGATTCAAAATATACTTGTGATTCATTCTAAAACACAAAATCATCTTTAAATAACAAAAGAATGTTGTAAGGATTCCCTTGTTTTTACAATAGCAGAGAGAAGACCAACAATGAAAACAATCTGAAGAGAAATTATTTGACAAAGAGGTTAATTATGCAAACTCACAATGGATAAGGTTATCTGCTTCAGCACATCCTCCTAAACACAAAACATAACAATACCTTATCTAATTCCCAAACACAAACATTTAAACAAGCACCTGGAGGCACCATTTCACCAAGTGCAAGTTGAATCCATTGTGCAAATCTTCATTTGAGAAGGCCCCAGGGAACTGATGGCATGGGTGGGGCAGATGGGGCAGATAAAGGAGGGAGAGGTGTCTGGAAAGCTACTCTGGGTCTCTCAGGTGGTATCGTCTCTTCAAAGTGTCTTGGTGCCACACGAAACTGCTTTAGTCTATGCGGCTAAAATAAAGGGAAAAAACCTGTTTGTTACATATTATCATAAATTTGAAGAAGAAAAGACCTCAAAAGACCCTCTATCCCAACAGGTACTTAAGATATTCACAGAACAACAGAATTTCACAGCTATAAAAGAGATTTTGAGGCACTAACTCCTATTTTATAAATGGGAAGCTGAGGCTCCCTGAGAAGTACATAAATCACCTAGGGTCTGTTAATAAATAATTGAGCAAGACTATAGCCAGATATTAATTCTAAATACACCTGTAACATTCTTTCTATACACTACCACACTATGCTGTCATCACTTTTAAATTGCCATTTCTGATATCAAATTATTCTATAGAACAGGGTCAGCAAATGCTTTCTGTAAAGGCCGGATAGTAATATATTAGGCTTTACAAGGCTATGTAGTCTCTTCACAAAGAATGGACTCAACACAGTGCTAAAACAGCCATTAACCATATGTAAATGAATGAGCAAGACTATGCGGCAATAAACTTTATTTACAAAAACAGGTAGCAAATGTATTTGACCACAGGCCACACTTTGCTAATCCAACTCTAGAACATCATAAATGTGTCCTTTTCTAAGGTTTGAACATCAAAGTAAATCCAAAAGTAATGGTCTAATGGTCACGATATCTATCTATTTATTCTCACAAATCAATTGATACTATACAGGGGCTTCAATTCAAAGATAAATAAGAAGGTCTGTCACACACCTAATGTAACCATGAATCTACAATTTAACATGCACACATACTACATTAAAAAACTCAAGTTTTGTAAAGTTTTTGATCATAAAAGCTGCTTCAAAGGTATTTATTGATAGAGAAAAATATATTTGGCTTTGAAATTTACCTTTTTTCTACTATCTTATCAGGAATGATTTCTCAGGTTATTCTAAATATTTTTTTCTATGAGCAGTAGAAGCACATTGAGGGTGATGCTGGCACAGTATTAAACTTTTTTAAACAGATAACCCACAGGATATGTACCTAGCATAAGTAAAAGCAAATCAAAGTTTCCTATACTTGAATAATTTTAACTTGCTATATCCTTTTGAAGAATAAACTTTTTCATAAACTTTTAATGAAATTAAAGGTCTTAATCATCATTCAAAGATGAAAAACACTTGCCTTAGCAAACAATTACATATCCAATTACAGAAAAAGCACATTGTGGTAGAGAAATAAATTGTTACCTCTTCCTTACTTAACTGCAATGATGTAATCATTCCATTCCATTTTAATGCATGAACTTCGGCAAAAAATTAAAGTAAAAATAAGATTGTTACCTCTCTGATTTAACATTAAGAATTACTAAAATGCTTTATGACTATAATTTAAGCTTTTGGTTTCTTTGGAAATCACTCTAATATAAGAAAAGTGGTCAAGATATACTCAAGAAAAATATCAACATAATTGTAAATTAAATGAGATAACTTTCCCATGGAATAGCACATGTGAATAAGGCAGAGAGGACTAATTTAAAATAAACTTAAAATATGATACAGAAATGAAAAAGGAAAAATTATCTGAGGGAAATAACAGATAAGAGTTAAAATTTACATTTTATTAAAACTAAATTAAGTTTATTTTATTACTATTCAAATTGGTCTACTCTAACATTTCTCCCAATATCCTCTATTCCCATCTGCTACCACATTTAAGGCTCATTTTAATGAAACATTAAACAACAAAAGATGCCAAGAACCCTTACCGATTTCTCAGGGTCTTGTGCTCCAGAAGCTGCAACCCTGAGTTCTAAATCTTTTTCTCTAAACAAAATTTAAGTTTTATATATTAAAAAGTTATAGTAAATATTATCAAAATTATAATCACTGAAACGAACTTACACACAAAGTCTATGCAATACATCTCCAAATACAAATTATTCCTGAATTGACAATAAAGCCTTAAATAATACTGAAAATCCAATTTTCTGACTTGATGAAAAGTAAACTGGAATGCACATGTAACTGACACAATATATAACTCTAAACCAGTGCCTGGAGTACCTCAAAGACTAAGCAATTCACACAAAATACAAAAATAAAATAAATACTTTGTCAAACAAAAACCCTCTTTTAGGGCACATGTATATTTTTAGTTAGCAAAAAGAAGGGTAAAAATTTAAATATAACTACCACCACTCTTTCTAATAAGGGTTTTTAAGAAAATGATGTTAAAGATGACTAAGATAAGACTTAGCTTCCTCTAAGACATAGAGAAAAAGGCAAAACTAAAAGACAACAGTCTCAGATTCTCTCAAATCAAGATCCCTATTCCTAATTTTGAACTATAATTAACATTTCACAAATATTTCTACAAGAAAGATTATAAACACTGATATTTATATACAATATAAATACTTGTGATTTATCATAAAATTATTTTTATATTGCATATATGGGTGTGCTTATCCATTTCAGATGGAAAAAAGATAAAATACTTCTATATTTTTATTATATGTGGAATAATCCAATAGGCATACAGAACATTAAATGCTACCCTAAATCAAAAATTGAAGTAGTCAATGAAGGAAGCAAAACGCCTACTATAGAATATATATACATAATCTCATTTGTTATCTATGACAAAGAAAACAAACACTGTCATGGTTTTATTTCCCTTAATGATTTACAATGTGGAGATTGAAATATAAGTGATTAAAAAATCAAAAATAATATTAGGAGAAACAGCCCCTTATTTAAACATCATGACATTTTATACAAATGCATTTTAAATTCAAAACCTTTCTTTTAAATGCAAACCTTTCATTACCGTCTCTTGTTTTTCTGTTGCTCAGCCATTTGTTCCAATAGTTCTTGTCTATATTTCTCTTTCTTTCTCTGAATAAGTTCTCGATCTTCACCTCCTAGACAGTAGTAAGAAAAGAATGCAAATATTTTTGTTTTTGTTTTTGAGACAGAGTCTCGCCTTGTCACCCTGGCTAGAGTGCCATGACGTCAGCCTAGCTCTCAGCAACCTCAAACTCCTGGGCTCAAGGGATCCTCTGTCTCAGCCACCCGAGTAGCTGGGATTACAGTGTGCACCACCACGACCAGCTAATTTTTTCTATTTTTAGTAGAGACAGGGTCTCACTTTTGTTCAGGCTGGTCTCAAACTCTTGAGCTCAAGGGATCCTCCAGTCTAAGCTTCCCAGAGTCCTAGGGTTACAGGCATGAGCCACTGTGCTGGCCTAAGAATGCAATCTTTTAACTCTTGGGAATCACATGGCCCTAGAAACTAAGGGGGGGAAAAAACTCCATGTTTAATTATATCAAAGATTTACTGAATATGCAAGAAACATACAAGGAAAAAATGACATGTATTAGTACCTCTTCAATTAATTTCATAATTTATAAGTACCTACTATGTCAAACACAAGGTACATTAATCATTCTCAAGCCTGTCTTTAGTCAAAATCTTCCTAAATAACAAAATATTCTTATCCCCAACCCCATTTTTCCAATAATCTAGACATTTTCCACTAACATCTTCTATAAGTCCCTTAAATTTAACACACCCATCCAAAATGAATGCATCACAACCAATTCCCTCTCTTTGTTTTCTATTAATGGCATGTATATTCTTTCAAAGGAAGTCAACCGTATATGAAATATAAACCACTAAATATCAATAGTAAAGTCTTGACATAATCTTAGTATTTCATAAATTTAATAAAACTTCTGAAAACCTCTACTTCAGCACTTCATTAGAGTTGGAAATATCTCTGTATTTCCACAATGCAATATTCCAACAATAAAACAGAAAGGAAATTCCTTTAAATGAACAATATTCTCACTTTTGAGTGTATCTTAACAGATTCTCCCTTGTCATACACTTCAAAATAATTCTGAAGAACTAAGAAGCAATGAAGTTCTCTTAAGTAGTGAATATTTTTCATATTACTAGCCACTCAGTGTATCTATCCTCACTCCAAGATACATCAACAAAAACTTGAATAACTTTGGAAAAGGTATTGCATCATCAAGTCTAATTTATATAAGATTTATATAATATTAAATCCTCACAACAATGCTGTAATTGTAGATAGGAAAAAAATTACTTTTCCACTTTTAAAATAAGAAAATTAGGCTCAACAAAGGTGTGGTTTGCCCAAAATCCAGGTAGAGAAGCCAACCATTTCCATCCTTGATCCAAAGAAGAGACACCATATAATGCTCTAATTCAATCTCTTCCAGTCTACTGAGTGGAGAACCATCAGATGAAAAAAAACAAAACACCTGATAAATACACTAAACACAGTCCTATAGTTTGTTAGTAGTAAATAAAAGACCAAGTCCTATGAAAAAAGCAAGTATAGGTCAGAAAATATCAATGTTCAAAAAAGTTGAGAAAGACATCTATAAATTGAAATATTAATACATATTTATAATTAAAAAATTAATATGAGCGAAAACTAACCTCAAGTCTTACAAAGAGAAGAAAGTATAGCTGAGAAAATATATCAGTGTAACAACATGATTTTCTTTATATGCAGTCTAGTATAGCATGATGCCTTTATCTATAGAAATCAAATCTTTACCCAATACCTAAGTTATAGGTTTATAATCTCAACACTTTTTATTTAAGTTGCATGGCCCCTAAGTAATCACAGAGAATGAGCTTAAAGAAACAGAAGCTAAAATAAAATCATATATAAAAGAATCATATTAGAAATGTTTTCCACATGAATTAAAGAATTCAATGTTTGCCAAGTGGAAATAACAGAATTAAGGAAAATGTATAGCTTTTATATGTTAAAAAGATATTAAAAAGAGATATCCCAAAATATAACCTAAAATTAGATTCAAAATATACTTGGTGATTCATTCTAAAACACAAAATCATCTTTAAATAACAAAAGAATGTTGTAAGGATTTCCCTTGTTTTTACAATAGCAGAGAGAAGACCAACAATGAAACAAATCTGAAGAGAAAATTATTGACAAAGAGTAATTATGCAAACTCACAATGGATAAGGTTATCTGCTTCAGCACATCTCCTAAAAACAAAACATAACAATACCTTATCTAATTCCAAACACAAAACATTTTAAACAAGCACCTGGGAGGCACCATTTCACCAAGTGCACAGTTGAATCCATTGTGCAAATCTTCATTTTGAGAAGGCCAAGGGAACTGATGGCATGGGTGGGCAGATGGGGCAGATAAAGGGAGGGAGAGGTGTCTGGAAAGCTACTCTGGTCTCTCAGGTGGTATCCTCTCTTCAAAGTGTCTTGGTGCCACACGAAACTGCTTTAGTCTATTCAGGTAATAATAAAGGGGAAAAAACCTGTTTGTTACATATTATCATAAATTGAAGAAGAAAAGGACCTCAAAAAGACCTCTATCCCAACAGGTACTTAAGATATTCACCAGAACAACAGAATTTCACAGCTATAAAAGAGATTTGAGGACCTAACTCCTATTTTATAAATGGTAGCTGAGGCTCCCTGAGAAGTACATAAATCACCTAGGTCTGTTAATAAATAATTGAGCAAAGACTATAGCCAGATATTAATTCTAAATACACCTGTAACATTCTTTCTATACACTACCACACTATGCTGTCATACTTTTAAATTGCCATTTCTGATATCAAATTATTCTATAGAACAGTCAGCAAATGCTTCTGTAAAGGCCGGATAGTAAATATATTAGGCTTTACAAGCCATGTAGTCTCTCACAAAGAATGGACTCAACCACAGTGCTAAAACAGCCATTAACCATATGTATATGAATGAGCAAGACTATGCTGCAATAAACTTTATTTACAAAAACAGGCAGCAAATGTATTTGACCACAGGCCACACTTTGCTAATCCCAACTCTAGAACATCATAAATGTGTCCTTTTCTAAGGTTTGAACATCAAAAGTAAATCCAAGCCGGGCGCGGTGGCTCACGCCTGTAATCCTAGCACTCTGGAGGCTGAGGCGGGCGGAATGCTCGAGGTCAGAGTTCGAAACAGCCTGAGCAAGAGCGAAGACCCCGTCTCTACTATAAATAGAAAGAAATTAATTGGCCAACTAATATATATATAAAATTAGCGGCATGTGGCGCATGCCTGTAGTTCCAGCTACTCGGGAGCTGAGGCACCAGGATTGCTTGAGCCCAGGAGTTTGAGGTTGCTGTGAGCTAGGCTGACGCCATCACTCACTCTAGCCCTGGGCAACAAGCAGACTCTGTCTCAAAAAAAAAAAAAAAAAGAAAGAAAGAAAAAAAAGAAAAAAAAAAAAAGTATAATTAAAAAAAAAAAAAAGAAATCCAAAAGTAATGGTCTAATGGTCACATGATATCTATCTATTTATTCTCACAAATCAAATTGATACTTATACAGGGCTCAATTCAAAGTAAATAAGTAAGGCTGCACACACTAATGTAACCATGAATCTTACATTTAACATGCCAACATACTACATTAAAAAACTCAAGTTTTGTAAAGTTTTTGATCATAAAAGAGCTGCTCAAAGGTATTTATGATAGAAGAAAATATATTTGGCCTTTGAATATTACCCTTTTTCTACTATCTTATCAGGAATGATTTCTCAGGTTATTCTAAATATTTTTTCTATTGAGCAAGTAGCATGTTGAGGGTGATGTGGCACAGTATTAACTTTTTTAAACAGATAACCACAGGATATGTACCTAGCATAAGTAAAAGCACAATCAATTAATTTCTATTATTGATAATTTTAACTTGCTAATATCCTTTGAAGAATTATACTTTTTTATAAACTTTTATATAAATTTAAAGGTCTTAATCATCATTCAAAGATGAAACAACACTTGCCTTAGCAAACGATTACATTCCAAATTAAGAAAAAGCACATTGTGGTAAGAGGAAATACAATTGGTTACCTTCCTATCTACTTTAACTGCAATGATGTATCATTCCATGTTAATGATGAATTGCAAAAAAAAAATGCCAAGACCATTCAATGGAGAAAGAATAGTCTTATCAACAAATGGTGCTTGGTAAAACTGACTAGCCACATACAAAAGAATGACAATGAACCCCTTCCTAAAACCATACACAAAAACTAACTCAAAATGAATCAAAGAACTAAACGTAAAACCTCAAACTACAAAACTCTGAGAAGAAAATATAAGGCAAAAGTTTTATAACATTGGATTTGACAAAGATTTCTTGAATATGACAACAAAGGCACAGACAACAACAAAATAGACAAACTGGATCTCTCAAAAATTTTTAAATCTTGTGCATCAAAAGACAATATCAACAGAGTACAAAGGAACTCACAGAAGAAAATATTCCCAAATCACATATTTATCTGATAAAGTATTAATATCCAGTATACAGAGAGAACTCCTAAAATTCAACAACAAAAAAACAATCCAATTCAGAAGTGGGAAAAAGACTTGAATAGATATTTCTCCAAATATGATACACAAATGGCTAACAAGCACATGAAAAGATGCTCAACATCACTAATCAATGGGGAAACAAAATTAAAACTACAATTAGATATCCCCTCACACTCATTAGCATGGCTAATATTAAAAAGACAAAAAATAACAAGTATTGGCAAGGATGTGGAGAAATTGGAACCCTTATGCCCTGTTGGTGGGAATATAAAATGGTACAGCCACTATGGAAAACAATACAGCAGTTCCTCAAAAAATTAAACACAATATTATCATATGACCCAGTAATTCCAGCTCTGGGCATATACCCAAAATAATTTAAAACAGGGTCTCAAAGAGATATTAATATCTGTATACTCATATTCATAGTAGCATTATTCACAAGAGCCACAATGTGGAGCAACCCAAGTGTTCATGGATGGATGAATGGATAAGCAAAATTTGGTATACACATACAATGGAATATTACTCTGCATTAAAAAGGAAGGAAATGCTGACATATGTACCACCTGGATGAACCTTGAGGACATTATGCTAAGTGAAATAAGTCAGTCACAATAAGACAAACACTGTATGATTTCACTTATGTAAGGTACTTGAAGTAGTCAAAATCAGAGACAGATGGCAGAATGGTGATTGTCAGGGGATGGGGAGTTATACCATTATTGTTTAACGGGTAGAGAGTTTCAGTTTATAAGATAAAAAGAGTTCTGGAGATGCTGATGATGGTTGCACATCATAAACATATTAAATACCACTAAATAGTACCCTTAAAAATATTAAGATGATAAGTTTTATATTATGTGTATTTCAACAAAATTTTTATAAAATGAAGGAAAAAAATTATTCTTTTAACTAACAACTTACACAATAGGTTGTGCTGGTTGATGGATGACAGGAGCACTAACATAAGCTGTAGGCTGTACTCCCATCATTCCTGAACCATCTTAAAAGGAAAAAAAAAAAAACACATTTATTTCAGGGTACCCATTTAATAACACTTTATCCCTAAAGAAAAAGATACATAATGAAAATGTTAACTAAGGAAAAGCATCAGTATTTCCTTCTGGGTTAAGAGTTACCAAAGAACCCCAAAAAACAGAAAACAGTCATTTCTTAAATCTAGATGAAAAGGAAATAACTGTGAAATATAGCTGGGTTTTAAAACAGGATATCTTAAGGCAATAAATGTATAATATTTGAATTAAGCAAAGTTGTACTTTTCTCATTTAGAGATTTTTGGCTTGCACAAAAATCAGTTTTCCTTATTGAACCACTGAGGAAAAAATGCTTACACTATAGATAACTTACAATAAGTAAGACTGGGATCCAAAGTATTTCTGGCCCCATAAAAATAGTATGCATCATCATAAGGAGTTCGAAAGTTAGTAGCCAAAGGTGGTAGTAGGTGAGGTGGAGGCAAAGGTCCAATCCTGTATCAATAGAAAAATGAAAAGTTCTCAATATTTCATTGCAAATTTTTTAAAAAATCAAGATATTATTCTTTTGCAAAAATATTACTGAAAATCCAATCACTAGAAAAAGCCATCACCTTGCTGTAATCATTCATCAAAAATTATCATTCAAAAAACAAATAATATAGCATAGAATTTCACAATTTCCAGTACATTTATGTATGACAAAAACTTAGGTTAATATCCAATCAGTTAATATCCTATAGTCACTATGTGCCAGTATCAAACAAAGACAGACATGGTCCCTGTCCCTTGGGAATAACACAGAAACAAATAGCTGCAGCCAAGTATAGTAAATAAAATAATAGAAGTAGATACAGAGTGCTATGGAACACAGAGCAGGGACATCTAAATCACATAAGGGACAGGAAGAAACCATAAGCATGGCTTTTCAGAAGAGGCAATGCTCGAGCCATCTTACTAGAGTGAGTTACTCAGAGAGAGAGGAAGGACCGTCCAAGAAGAAAAGGCAAAGAGTACAAAACAGTATGATTATACATAAATGGTTTGAAAGGTTGTGCTTTTAACTGTAAAATGTATTATTCTTTCAAAGGAAGTCAACTGTATATGAAATATAAAACCACTAAAATATCAATAGTAAAGTCTTGACATAATCTTTAGTATTTCATAAATTTAATAAAACTTCTGAAAACCTCTACTTCAGCACTTCATTAGAGTTGGAAATATCTCTGTATTTCCACCAATGCAATATTTTCCAACAATAAAAACAGAAAGGGAAATTCCTTTAAATGAACAATATTCTCACTTTTGAGTGTATCTTAACAGATTCTCCCTTGTCATACACTTCAAAATAATTCTGAAGAACTAAGAAGGCAATGAAGTTCTCTTAAGTAGTGAATATTTTTCATATTTACTAGCCACTCAGTGTATCTATCCTCACTCCAAAGATACATCAACAAAAACTTGAATAACTTATGAAAAGGTATTGCCATCATCAAGTCTAATTTTATATAAGATTTATATAATATTAAATCCTCACAACAATGCTGTAATTGTAGATAAGGAAAAAAAATTACTTTTCCACTTTTACAAATAAGAAAATTAGGCTCAACAAAGGTGTGGTTTGCCCAAAATCCAGGTAGAGAAGCCAACCATTTCCATCCTTGATCCAAAGAAGAGACCACCATATAATGCTCTGTAATTCCAATCTCTTCCAGTCTACTGAGTGGAGAAGCCATCAGATGAAAAAAAACAAAACACCTGATAAATACACTAAACACAGTCCTATAGTTTGTTAGTAGTAAATAAAAGACCAAGTCCTATGAAAAAAGTAAGTATAGGTCAGAAAATATCAATGTTCAAAAAAGTTGAGAAAGACATCTATAAATTGAAATATTAATACATATTTATAATTAAAAAATTAATATTGAGCGAAAACTAACCTCAAGTCTTACAAAGAGAAGAAAGTATAGCTGAGAAAATATATCAGTGTTAACAACATGATTTTCTTTATATGCAGTCTAGTATAGCATGATGCCTTTTTATCTATAGAAATCAAATCTTTACCCCAATACCTAAGTTATAGGTTTTATAATCTCAACACTTTTTATTTAAGTTGCATGGCCCCTAAGTAATCACAGAGAATGAGCTTAAGAGAAACAGAAGCTAAAATAAAATCATATATATAAAAGAATCATATTAGAAATGTTTTCCACATGAATTAAAGAATTCAATGTTTGCCAAGTGGAAATAACAGAATTAAGGAAAATGTATAGCTTTTATATGTTAAAAGATATTAAAAAGAGATATCCCAAAATATAACCTAAAATTAGATTCTAAAATATACTTGGTGATTCATTCTAAAAACACAAAATCATCTTTAAATAACAAAAGAATGTTGTAAGGATTTCCCTTGTTTTTACAATAGCAGAGAGAAGACCAACAATGAAAACAAATCTGAAGAGAAATTATTTGACAAAGAGGTTAATTATGCAAACTCACAATGGATAAGGTTATCTGCTTCAGCACATCCTCCTAAACACAAAACATAACAATACCTTATCTAATTCCCAAACACAAAACATTTTAAACAAGCACCTGGGAGGCACCATTTCACCAAGTGCACAGTTGAATCCATTGTGCAAATCTTCATTTTGAGAAGGCCCCAAGGGAACTGATGGCATGGGTGGGGCAGATGGGGCAGATAAAGGAGGGAGAGGTGTCTGGAAAGCTACTCTGGGTCTCTCAGGTGGTATCGTCTCTTCAAAGTGTCTTGGTGCCACACGAAACTGCTTTAGTCTATCAGGCTAAAATAAAGGGGAAAAAAACCTGTTTGTTACATATTATCATAAATTTGAAGAAGAAAAGGACCTCAAAAGACCCTCTATCCCAACAGGTACTTAAGATATTCACAGAACAACAGAATTTCACAGCTATAAAAGATTTTGAGGACCTAACTCCTATTTTATAAATGGGTAGCTGAGGCTCCCTGAGAAGTACATAAATCACCTAGGGTCTGTTAATAAATAATTGAGCAAAGACTATAGCCAGATATTAATTCTAAATACACCTGTAACATTCTTTCTATACACTACCACACTATGCTGTCATACTTTTTAAATTGCCATTTCTGATATCAAATTATTCTATAGAACAGGGTCAGCAAATGCTTTCTGTAAAGGGCCGGATAGTAAATATATTAGGCTTTACAAGGCCATGTAGTCTCTTCACAAAGAATGGACTCAACTACAGTGCTAAAACAGCCATTAACCATATGTATATGAATGAGCAAGACTATGCTGCAATAAACTTTATTTACAAAAACAGGCAGCAAATGTATTTGACCACAGGCCACACTTTGCTAATCCCAACTCTAGAACATCATAAATGTGTCCTTTTCTAAGGTTTGAACATCAAAAGTAAATCCAAGCCGGGCGCGGTGGCTCACGCCTGTAATCCTAGCACTCTGGGAGGCTGAGGCGGGCGGATTGCTCGAGGTCAGGAGTTCGAAACCAGCCTGAGCAAGAGCGAGACCCCGTCTCTACTATAAATAGAAAGAAATTAATTGGCCAACTAATATATATATTAAAATTAGCGGCATGTGGCGCATGCCTGTAGTCTCCAGCTACTCGGGAGCTGAGGCACCAGGATTGCTTGAGCCCAGGAGTTTGAGGTTGCTGTGAGCTAGGCTGACGCCATCACTCACTCTAGCCTGGGCAACAAGCGAGACTCTGTCTCAAAAAAAAAAAAAAAAAAAAAAGAAAGAAAAAAGAAAAAAAAAAAAGTATATTAAAAAAAAAAAAAAGTAAATCCAAAAGTAATGGTCTAATGGTCACTGATATCTATCTATTTATTCTCACAAATCAATTGATACTATACAGGGCTCAATTCAAAGATAAATAAGAAGGTCTGTCACACACTAATGTAACCATGAATCTACATTTAACATGCCAACATACTACATTAAAAAACTCAAGTTTTGTAAAGTTTTTGATCATAAAGCTGCTTCAAAGGTATTTATTGATAGAAGAAAATATATTTGGCTTTGAATATTACCTTTTTCTACTATCTTATCAGGAATGATTTCTCAGGTTATTCTAAATATTTTTCTATGAGCAGTAGAAGCATATTGAGGGTGATGCTGGCACAGTATTAAACTTTTTTAAACAGATAACCACAGGATATGTACTAGCATAAGTAAAAGCAAATCAAAAGTTTCTATATTGAATAATTTTAACTTGCTATATCCTTTTGAAGAATAACTTTTCATAAACTTTTAATGAAATTAAAGGTCTTAATCATCATTCAAAGATGAAACAACACTTGCCTTAGCAAACGATTACATATCCAATTACAGAAAAAGCACATTGTGGTAAGAGAAATAAATTGTTACCTCTTCCTTACTTAACTGCAATGATGTAATTCATTCCATTTAATGATGAATTGCAAAAAATTAAAGTAAAAATAAGATTGTTACCTCTCTGATTTAACATTAAGAATTACTAAAATGCTTTATGACTATAATTTAAGTTTTGGTTCTTTGGAAATCACTCTAATATAAGAAAAGTGGTCAAGATATACTCAAGAAAAATATCAACATAATTGTAAATTAAATGAGATAACTTTCCCATGGAATAGCACATGTGAATAAGGCAGAGAGACTAATTTAAATAAACTTAAAATATGATACAGAAATGAAAAAGAAAAATTATCTGAGGAAATAACAGATAAGAGTTAAAATTTACATTTTATTAAAACTAAATTAATTTATTTTATTACTATTCAAATTGGTCTACTCTAACATTTCTTCCCAATATCCTCTATTCCATCTGCTACCACATTTAAGGCTCATTTTAATGAAACATTAAACAACAAAAGATGCCAAGAACCCTTACCGATTTCTCAGGGTCTTGTGCTCCAGAAGCTGCAACCCTGAGTTCTAAATCTTTTTCTCTAAACAAAATTTAATTTTATATATTAAAAGTTATAGTAAATATTATCAAAATTATAATCACTGAAACGAACTTACACACAAAGTCTATGCAATACATCTCCAAATACAAATTATTCCTGAATTGACAATAAAGCCTTAAATAATACTGAAAATCCAATTTTCTGACTTGATGAAAAGTAAACTGGAATGCACATGTAACTGACACAATATATAACTCTAAACCAGTGCCTGGAGTACCTCAAAGACTAAGCAATTCACACAAATACAAAAATAATAAATACTTTGTCAAACAAAACCCTCTTTTAGGGCACATGTATATTTTTAGTTAGCAAAAAGAAGGGTAAAAATTTAAATATAACTACCACCACCTTTCTAATAAGGGTTTTTAAGAAAATGATGTTAAAGATGACTAAGATAAGACTTAGCTTCCTCTAAGACATAGAGAAAAAGGCAAAACTAAAAGACAACAGTCTCAGATTCTTCTCAAATCAAGATCCCTATTCCTAATTTGAACTAATAAATTTCACAAATATTCTACAAGAAAGATTATAAACACTGATATTTATATACAATATAAATACTTGTGATTTATCATAAAATTATTTTTATATTGCATATATGGGTGTGCTTATCCATTTCAGATGGAAAAAAGATAAAATACTTCTATATTTTTATTATATGTGGAATAATCCAATAGGCATACAGAACATTAAATGCTACCCTAAATCAAAAATTGAAGTAGTCAATGAAGGAAGCAAAACGCCTACTATAGAATATATATACATAATCTCATTTGTTATCTATGACAAAGAAAACAAACACTGTCATGGTTTTATTTCCCTTAATGATTTACAATGTGGAGATTGAAATATAAGTGATTAAAAAATCAAAAATAATATTAGGAGAAACAGCCCCTTATTTAAACATCATGACATTTTATACAAATGCATTTTAAATTCAAAACCTTTCTTTTAAATGCAAACCTTTCATTACCGTCTCTTGTTTTTCTGTTGCTCAGCCATTTGTTCCAATAGTTCTTGTCTATATTTCTCTTTCTTTCTCTGAATAAGTTCTCGATCTTCACCTCCTAGACAGTAGTAAGAAAAGAATGCAAATATTTTTGTTTTTGTTTTTGAGACAGAGTCTCGCCTTGTCACCCTGGCTAGAGTGCCATGACGTCAGCCTAGCTCTCAGCAACCTCAAACTCCTGGGCTCAAGGGATCCTCTGTCTCAGCCACCCGAGTAGCTGGGATTACAGTGTGCACCACCACGACCAGCTAATTTTTTCTATTTTTAGTAGAGACAGGGTCTCACTTTTGTTCAGGCTGGTCTCAAACTCTTGAGCTCAAGGGATCCTCCAGTCTAAGCTTCCCAGAGTCCTAGGGTTACAGGCATGAGCCACTGTGCTGGCCTAAGAATGCAATCTTTTAACTCTTGGGAATCACATGGCCCTAGAAACTAAGGGGGGGAAAAAACTCCATGTTTAATTATATCAAAGATTTACTGAATATGCAAGAAACATACAAGGAAAAAATGACATGTATTAGTACCTCTTCAATTAATTTCATAATTTATAAGTACCTACTATGTCAAACACAAGGTACATTAATCATTCTCAAGCCTGTCTTTAGTCAAAATCTTCCTAAATAACAAAATATTCTTATCCCCAACCCCATTTTTCCAATAATCTAGACATTTTCCACTAACATCTTCTATAAGTCCCTTAAATTTAACACACCCATCCAAAATGAATGCATCACAACCAATTCCCTCTCTTTGTTTTCTATTAATGGCCCAATAACAGTGTCCCAAACCCTCACTATAATTTTGAGTGGATGACTCTCTTATTCATTTCATATGAGGCCCCTCCTTTCTATTCTCATGGCCATTAACCATGGATAAGTCTCATTTCCACATTTCACCCGGATAGCAACAACAACTTTCTGTTACTGTCTCCACAACTCCCTTCTCCCAGCATACTTACACATATCCAGCACACTTATATAATAAGACTAATTGTCATAAAATACAACACTAATCACACTGGCACCCTGCTGAAAAAAATTCAATGGCTACATCAATTCTACACAAAAAAATAAGAACCACTCACTGTGGTATTCCTCATGTGAAAATCCAATTGATCAAAAACTTTCAGATGCAGAAAAGATTATTATTACTGCATATGTTAATACCACAAAATAACTTTTTAATCTAGATATGCATGATCTGGAATACTACACAAATCACAAAATATCAAGAATGTAACCCTAGCCAGCTGTGGTGGCTCACACCTGTAATCCTAGCACTCTGGGAGGCTGAGGTGGGAGGATCACTTGAGCTCAGGAGTTCAAGACCAGCTTGGGCAAGAGCGAGATGCCATCTCTACCAAAAATTAGAAAAACTTAGCTGTGGTGGCACATGCCCATACTCGGAAGGCTGAGGCAGGAGGATTGCTTGGGCCCAGGAGTTTGAGGGTGCAATAAGCTATGATCATGCCATTGTACTCCACCTGGGGCTACAGAGTGACACTCTGTCTCAAAAAAAAAAAAATGCAACCTTAACATTCTCTACTGCTTTCATTATTGGTCTCCCAACCATCGGTGAGTACACAGCATCTCAGTTTGTTCATTAAACATAGATGTTCATTAAACATTGTCAGCAACAATGATGCTCCCCATGGGGGTAACATGAATTATAATATTTCCTAATAAGAGTGTGTATCTCCATTCCACTTCCACCCATGATAGAATAACAAAGACAGGACTTAACCTCCCACTGTAAATAACCAGAAAACTGGGCAAAAAACACGAAATAACTTTTCCAGGCACTGGACAACAGGCAGCACATGACTATACTACCTGAGAGAAGGAAAATAAAGGAAGTAAGCCCTATAATCACTCCAGTTTCTGACCAAATGCAATTTCCAGACCACCAGAACAGGTAAGGAGAACCCAAACAGAGCCAGAAAACTGAGTATATAAAGATCAAAACTCAGGAAGGCTAAAAGGGTTGGAAGTTGTGGAGCAGAGATTCAAAAGCAAGCATAAAAAGAGCTCTAAAAATCCAAAGGAGTCAGTGTATTCACAGAGTGGAATTCCACTCAGCTGGGCAAACAAACTAAGTGGGACATATAAACTGAACAATTCTCAGACTTGAAACAAAAGAGAGAAATTCAAGCTGCAGCCAAAGTGGAGTTCTTAGTAGTCTTTCAGGGAAGATGCCAGAAAGATTACTATGTAGCAGCAAGGCTAAAGTGTTCCCTGGAAAGAAGGCTACTCTAGATGCCCCCAGCTAAGGTTAAAACAGGACTCACATAGATCAAATTGGTCCTTAGTAACAGAGAAATGTACCATGGTAGGCAAAACTGGAAGATGGTGCCTATGTTCCCTGGTCCCTCGTGCAGACTCCCTGTATAATCCTCTCCCCTTGTGTGTGGGTGGAACCTGTGACTTGCTTCTATATCAAACAATATTGAAAGGCGGAAAAAAAAAAATTACAGATGTAATCAGAGTACTAAATCAATTAATTTTGAAGTAGCCAATAGGAAATTATCTTGGGTGAACCTCATATAATCAGGTGAAAGCCCTTAGAAGAGGGGCTGGGCCCTTCCTGAGTTCAGAGAGTCTCCTTGCTGGCATAAAGTGAGCAGCCATGGTGAGGAGGCCCACATGGCAAGGAACAGCAGACAGCCTCTAGGCACTGTGGGCAGCCTCCAGTGAGCATCCAGTAAGAAGCCAGGGCCCTCAGCCATATAACCACAAGGAAATGAATTTGCCAACAACCTGAATGAGCCTGGAAGCAGATTCTTCCCCACTCAAGCCTACAGATGAAAAACACAACCTGGCTGACACCTTGATTTGTAGCTTATTGAAATGCTAAACAGAGGATCTGCTCAGTAAGCCATGCTGAGACTCCTGACTCACAGAAGTTTCTGCCTGAATGCAGTTTCCAAATGCTCATGAGAAAGACTGGGGTGAACAATATAGAAGATCTGAAAAAGAACCTTCTGTGACACATAGGCGCAAAATACTCTGCAGACCCCTCTTATACAAAGCAAAAGACACAATCTACTGGTTATGGGGCAGAAAACCAACTTGAGCCTAACATAATAGCAAAGTCTTGTTACTGTTAGAAGAAGGACAGAAGAATTTGCTGCAAAGCCCTCTACAGACATAAAGGAGAGTTTGGCAACCACTCTTGGGAAGGGGAGAAACACTGAGAAAGACCCATTCCTGAGACCCAGATGGACAGAACCAGCTCTACACCAAGTAACAAGGAACAGCAATCTACTACTGGGGTAGGGGTGTCAAGGGGAGTAGTGTAGAGACAGAAATGCCCTCTCTGTCAAGAGTATGTAGGTCTTGCTGAAAACTAGGAAGGCCAGGTGTGGTGGTTCACACCTGTAACTTTGAAATCACTCTAATATAAGAAAAGTGGTCAAGATATACTCAAGAAAAATATCAACATAATTGTAAATTAAATGAGATAACTTTCCCATGGAATAGCACATGTGAATAAGGCAGAGAGGACTAATTTAAATAAACTTAAAATATGATACAGAAATGAAAAAGGAAAAATTATCTGAGGAAATAACAGATAAGAGTTAAAATTTACATTTTATTAAAACTAAATTAATTTATTTTATTACTATTCAAATTGGTCTACTCTAACATTTCTTCCCAATATCCTCTATTCCATCTGCTACCACATTTAAGGCTCATTTTAATGAAACATTAAACAACAAAAGATGCCAAGAACCCTTACCGATTTCTCAGGGTCTTGTGCTCCAGAAGCTGCAACCCTGAGTTCTAAATCTTTTTCTCTAAACAAAATTTAAGTTTTATATATTAAAGTTATAGTAAATATTATCAAAATTATAATCACTGAAACGAACTTACACACAAAGTCTATGCAATACATCTCCAAATACAAATTATTCCTGAATTGACAATAAAGCCTTAAATAATACTGAAAATCCAATTTTCTGACTTGATGAAAATAAACTGGAATGACATGTAACTGCACAATATATAACTCTAAACCAGTGCCTGGAGTACCTCAAAGACTAAGCAATTCACACAAATACAAAAATAAATAAATACTTTGTCAAACAAAACCCTCTTTTAGGGCACATGTATATTTTTAGTTAGCAAAAAGAAGGGTAAAAATTTAAATATAACTACACCACTCTTTCTAATAAGGGTTTTTAAGAAAATGATGTTAAAGATGACTAAGATAAGACTTAGCTCCTCTAAGACATAGAGAAAAAGGCAAAACTAAAAGACAACAGTCTCAGATTCTCTCAAATCAAGATCCCTATTCCTAATTTTGAACATAATTAACATTTCACAAATATTTCTACAAGAAAGATTATAAACACTGATATTTATATACAAATATAAATACTTGTGATTATCATAAAATTATTTTATATTGCATATATGGGTGTGCTTATCCATTCAGATGGAAAAAGATAAAATACTTCTATATTTTTATTATATGTGGAATAATCCAATAGGCATACAGAACATTAAATGCTACCCTAAATCAAAAATTGAAGTAGTCAATGAAGGAAGCAAAACGCCTACTATAGAATATATATACATAATCTCATTTTTATCTATGACAAAGAAAACAAACACTGTCATGGTTTTATTTCCCTTAATGATTTACAATGTGGAGATTGAAATATAAGTGATTAAAAATCAAAATAATATTAGGAAAAACAGCCCCTTATTTAAACATCATGACATTTTATACAAATGCATTTTAAATTCAAAACCTTTCTTTTAATGCAAACCTTTCATTACCGTCTCTTGTTTTTCTGTGCTCAGCCATTTGTTCCAATAGTTCTTGTCTATATTCTCTTTCTTTCTCTGAATAAGTTCTCGATCTTCACCTCCTAGACAGTAGTAAGAAAAGAATGCAAATATTTTTTTTGTTTTTGAGACAGAGTCTCGCCTTGTCACCCTGGCTAGAGTGCCATGACGTCAGCCTAGCTCTCAGCAACCTCAAACTCCTGGGCTCAAGGATCCTCTGTCTCAGCCACCCGAGTAGCTGGGATTACAGTGTGCCACCACGACCAGC